AGTGAGACTCCAACTCAAAAAAAAAAAAAAGAGCCCAGCATGGTAGCATGTGTGCCTGTGGTTCCGGCTACTAGGAAGGCTGAGGCAGAAGGATCACTGGAGCCCAGCAGATCTACGCTGGGGTGGCCATGAGCATGCCACTGTACTCCAGCCTAGGCAACGGAGCGAGACTCCAACTCAAAAAAGAAAAAAAATCAACCTATGTGATACAGCACATTAATAGAACAAGGGGGGGAAACATGATTATCTCAATTGACACAGAACATCTAACACCCTTTCATGATTAAAACACCCAGAAAACTTGGAATAGAAAGGAATTTCCTCAGCATGAAAAAGGGTTCCTACAAAAACCCCATAGCTACCTCATACTCAATGGTGAGAGACTGCATGCTCTCAAAGATCAGGAATAAGGCCAGGCACGGTGACTCAAGCCTGTAATCCCAGCACTTTGGGAAGCCGAGGTGAGAGAATTGTCTGAGACCACGGGCTCAAGACCAGCCTGGGCAACGTGGCAAGACATCATCTCTACAATAAATCAAAAAATTAACTGGGCATGGTGGCACGCTCCTATAGTTCCAGCTATTTGGAAGGCTGAGGCAGAAGGATCGCCTGAGCCCAGTAGGTCGAGGCTATGGTGGCCATGAGCGTGCCACTGCACTCCAACCTAGACAACAGAGGGAGACACCAACCAAAAAAAATGGTTAAAATGGCAATTTGTTTGCTATTTTTGCTACAGTAAAAAAGTTTGGGGGGTTTTTTGTTTTGTTTTGTTTTGAGTTGGAGTCTCACTCTGTCGCCCAGACTGGAGTGCAGTGGCCACTCCCGGCCACCGCAGCCTCGACCTGCTGGGCTCCGGCAATCCTTCCGCCTCAGCCTTCCAAGAAACTGGAACTACAGACACATGCTACCATGCCCGGCTAATTTTTTATTTTATATGTAGAGACAAGGTCTCGTCGAGTTGCCCGGGCTGGTCTCCAATCCGCAGGTTCAGGCAATTCACTCACCTCGGCTTCCCAAAATGCTGAGATTATAGGCTGAGCCACCCAGCCCAGTCTTAAAAAAACGTTTTCAAAAGAGTAAGACATAGGATCCAGGAGACAGGACGTCCAACAAGGAGACAAACAAGGGGGATTTCCAAAGCGATGGAAAAGGAAGGGCCAAGAAAATGTGGTACGTATACATGATGGGGTATTATGCAACCATAAAGAAGGACAAAATATAGGCTTTGAGTAAACTGGATATATTTAGAGTCCATCTTTCTCAGTGATCTATCATAGAAGCAAAGAACTGAATACCACATGTTCTCACTAGTAAGTGGGTTCTGAACATTTATCACAATACTGTGAGAGAGAACAGCAGTATTGGGACTGCCAGGGGAGGAAGAGGGGCATGTAACATCCTTAAGCGTACCTGGTCCTAAACCAGGGGAAGTGAGGACCAGTGGGAGGCCCAAACTTCACCTACACGTAGACTACTCATATACCTAATCCTAACTTGTACCCCCACATCTTTATAATAACATAAAGTTTAAAAAAAGAAAAAATAAGCCGGGCTTGGTGGCTCAGCCTGTTATCCCGCGCCTTTGGGAGGCTGAGGTGAGTGGATTGCCTGAGCGCGCGGGTTCGAGACCTGCCTAGGCAGCGAGACCTCATCTCTACAATAAATCAAAAAAATTAGCCGGGCGTGGTAGCGCGCACCTGTAGTTCCAGCTACTCGGAAGGCTGAGGCGGAAGGATCGCCGGAGCCCAGCAGGTCGAGGCTGCGGTGGCCGGGAGCGGCCACTGCACTCCAGTCTGGGCGACAGAGTGAGACTCCAACTCAAAAAAAAAAAGAAAAAATAAAAAGAAGGGCCAAGTTGACACCTGGACAGCTGTCCAGGTGAGAACAAGAAGATGAAAACCTCCAGGACGGATAGGGAAAACACCCAAACAAACGGAAACTGATGTATTAATGTATTAAGAGGATATCCTCAGATCTATCAGAGTTACATATATATAACTATATAGACTATATATTCAATATATATCATTTCTCAAACCGTTAAATGAGGCAGTTATAAATTAACTTCAGGAAAAGCAGAAATATGTGTTTGAATGAGAGAGATCTAAATATTCATGTTCCATAGAAGGAAGAAGCCACTTGGAAGTGTTTTATACTGAAAGATGGAAGGATAGTAGTACCAGCCTACTATTTAGACACAGGGAGATACATGTCAGAGGCAGCAGCTAAAAAGGGTGAGAAATGGGGCAAAGAATTTATCTTTTTAATTATCCACCTGCTAATCTTATTCAATTTTGAATTTTGTACATTTACCACTTTCTAAAAATCTTTCTTTTTCCAAGCAGAAAATGGGTCCATCCAGCCTATGTATGAGGTCTGTTGGCCTGAGGGTCCTGCTCTCAGCCCATGTGGGTAACAGGTTTTTTTGCACCGACCCCATGCCCACTCTTCCCTTTGCCTGTGGATGAATCTGCAGGTGGAGATGGTTGTGGGAGCAGGGCTAAGGGGGAAAAAAGAAGACTAAGGACAGAAAAGCAGGCTGAGAAGTGTCGAGGTGGAGGGAATAGTCATGGAGGTGGGTTCCCACTGGTTCAGGCTTCTCCCTTCTCATCCCTGAGAACATGTCTTTGACCATCCCCACACAACATCCAGCCGGGGAGGGTGGAAGTGAAAAGCAGGAAGAGAGGAGACGGGGAAGAGTTTTCGCGTATGGGGAGTGGTCTCACTGCATGAGTGGCCTTAGCTCTTGCTTGCAGCAGCATGAGAGGAAAGGGCAGGTTCCAGCCCTGCTGCTAGCCACGTCCATTGGCACAACTTTTTTT